CTAGTTCAATTGTTCTTGGAGGGTTGACAATCTCAACAAATAGGGTTTCTAGCACTGATTTTCCTGAGGAGTCTTCTGAATGCCAAGATACAACTTTTGCTTTGGCCCCATTTGGAATGCAGCATTTGGTTGCTTCATTGTTTTTGATTAAGACTGGCATGCCTTTGCAAAGGGATAACTTGCCCAGAACATGATCACTGGCATCATGAGGAAGATTCCATAAAATATTTTAGGTAAGTTCATCTATGGCATTGGAATGATATTTATGCTTACTTTTATTCTTCTTTCTATTCATTTTAATGTCTGTTTTCCATTTATCTATGGAGTGAAAGTCAATTAGCTGTTGGTTTGTGTCTGAAGCAAATTGAACACATCCTAACTGGTTTAATCTGTCACGATGAATATTCTTGCTGTGATGACTGATATATGACTAGATTTTGGATCAGATAGTTTAGGCTTGTTCTCACTTTTCCCTGCTATCCTGCTGCGAAGAAATTTTATGTCTTGTAAACTGCAAGCTTTGTATCTCATATTTTCCAATGCTTCCTTAGTTTGTTATCTTCTTTGGTCTATCACGGAGTATAACTACTGTTGTGAATTGATGCCATATAGCTTTTCCTATTGCTGATTCTTGATCAGTAGGAGACATCCCTCTATTTAAATGTGTCCCCGCCCAATGACTGTATAATGGGGGACGGTTCATTGCTGGTGGCAATTGTGCAAAGCATCGTTCATCACATGTCCTATGTACGTTGGACTTTAGGAGTAGATCATTTACTGTTTTAACAGATTTTCTCCACCAGGATTGACTTGAATGACAGGTCTGACAATTATGGTTGAAACTGTGATCACATGGGTAAGGCGGGATATCTGGGAGTGTCTGAGTCGGGTCTTTATACTTTGGGTGGGATGAGTCATATGCTACCTCACTTTTGACTTCCTCCATGGTCTGATCTATGAATTCACCTTTATGAGCACCTTCCAGATATTCAATCATCTCAGTGTAAAATGGAGAATTCTTATCCATCATTCAGTCACATATCTCTTGAGGGCTCAATGAGTTGGCTATCCAGAGTAGTAAATGTAAATGCAGGGTCAGACGTCCCTGCTGTTCTACTGTTCCGTAATAGGCTGATGTTTTTCCGTACAAACCGTCATGATCACTGTTTACACCAAGGACATGTTTTATGAACAATCTCACCATCATATCAAGAAAATGAGCACCTGCTACAGGATTATCAGCCACAAGTTTTGCTCTGATATCATCTGGGATAAGTACTGGTTTAAATATTTCATCAGTTCCAGCATAGTATATACAAATTGGATGCTGTACATCTGCTGGAGTAAATGTAATAAACCATGATGGGGCACCTTTATATGCTATGAGTGACCATATTTCATTTCTCATGTATTTTGTATTTGTAATAGATCCCTCAACATGGCCAGCTATATGGTCAAGATCACCAAGGAGTTGGAAACAAGCCTTTTCTTCTGGGGTGTTTGGGATCACCCTATCTCCATTGGATAACCTACGAGCTAAATCAGTGAGGGTAGTCTTGTCAACGGATAGCAACCTATCAGTGATGTCATCAAACGAATGTCTTTCAGCTAGCAAGAACCCCCCGGTAGTGCTGGCCTTTATTTGCTCATGGTTGAATGCAATAATAGGAAAGTATTCATCCAGTTGGAATCTTTTGTCGTGATACATCAGCAAATGTCATTTGTGAGCCAGCTCAGATATCTTAGTATAATAATTAGGTTGCACTATTCCCCCAAGCCGTAGGGAAATAACCATGGAAATATTTGTGGGTACAATTGTGGATTGTTGTAGATGGACTCTGTATTTTCTGCATGACCCAGAGCCATCACTTGACCACCAGAGGTTAAATGTTTCACAGTTAGTGCTTTCAAAGATTTTATACTTTTCGTATGCAGCTGTTCCCCAGTAACACCGTGCACAACCAAGGGACAAGGGCCTGAGGCGGTACCCTCTTCTTCATCCAAAGATCCATGCAAGCTTTTAGCTATGCCTTCCTTTGGCTTAAACTGAGGATGATAGGACATAACAACAGGTGGCTGATTCTGTGGATATGATTTGAGGTTGTCATAGGATATATCAATGTCATGATAGGCAATGTGGTTTAATCTGAGCCACTCCAGTGCTTCTGCTACTTGATTATGACTTATGAGTAAAGGTGTCCTTTTGAATTCCTCATCAGTTGGTTGCACTGGACCTCTATAAATGAATGCCAAAACTTCATCCAATTCAGATCTTGGCGGTGGTAGAGTCTGATAAACTTTCGGAATGGGATTTGCAAAAAGGATTGTGTTGGCATTCATTTTTCTCATTCCTGAGGACACCTTAATCACGCAGCGGTTGTGGCGCACTCTGGCTATGAGCATTTTCTTCGCAAATGTTAGATTTTGAAGTTGGTCAGGCACATCACCTATCCACAGTCCATTTGCTAAGGCTAGTTCAGGTGCTTTATCTTTTGATAGAGACGTAGCACAAGAGGGACATATTTATCGAATTTAGTTTCAATAACAGGGCCAGGTATAGCATTTAAGTGATGAGACTTATGTGTTCTTTCCTTCCTCGTTACTGACCTGCCATTATCTATGAGTAATGTCAATTTGTCTTTAAAGTTATTTAATGGGGCAAGTTTTGATTTTGGGCATAGAGTTCCACACACTGCACATCCAGATTCCTCAATGAGAGCCGGATTCTGAGAAGAACTGAATTCATGTATGACTTTCTGTATTAACTGTTCTGAAGGAGGTTTAGGGGGAAACTTTACATCTTCTGTGTTAGTGTCAAAAGAATATTTTGTGTTATCATGGTGAGCCTGTTGTTTACCTCCAGCCCTATGCTTCGGTGGTGTTACTGGGAGGAATACAGTTACTGTGGGATAACAGTTGTCACATTGGTGTGTTGATAGAGCAGTTTCGATCTCCGGGTATTAATCTTGATTTTATGAACCTTTGCTAGTAACCTTAATTTTGTCAGAGGCAGTTTAGGTGAGACTACAGAAAAGGGAATATAACTAAGGACTACATTATCAGACTTATTGTATGTGTTCAAGGCATCAGATTGTATCATATGATCTAAGAATTTGAATTCCTTTGTTGATAGTATGGTCTGACTCGGTTCGTCCTCTGTTGATAAATATTTATAATCATATCGTAGAATTTCAGATGCTGAAAATGACGCTCTAGGCAATCCTTTTAAACCTCCACCTTTGACAGAAACTTTGTCTGGATTGACTTCCTCATGAATTATGATCCGCAGTCTCTTGGTTTAAGCTTGATTCCTCTTGCCGATGACAGACATAATAAGAATAAGGTGAATAATATGTATCTCTCCAGAGCCTGTGGTATATCTTGGTAAAATCATGTTTGCGTACAGAGTTTTTATGTTCTATCAACCTGATTATGCGGCACATTCTACTTGGAGAAATTATAAGCTGATTATAACAGTGTAAAGTATATAACATGAACCGGACAACAATGGAGGGGGGAGGATCCAAATGTTCTCCAAATATATGATTGTAATCTATACCTGGTCGAGAGACTTTATTCCTCGAGGAGGGATATGATGGAAGCATCACTGCACTGTGTTGGTCCTTTTGAAAATACCCCTGTTGTACAGGACAGACTTCGTTTCTGTAATTCTCTCCATTTTGGAGCCAGTATGAGACTGGATTGCACTCCTAAAAGCAGGAGACAGGATGTTCCTGTTGCATAATTGCTGCTGACATTCATACAGGAGACATGTCTCTGAGGAGTCGGTGATTCCTTGGTGATATGCCCAACATGCTGAAGATACAAGGTACTTGTGATCACAGTAGTGAACAGTACCCAGTATGGTAATGTTAGCATTGCCAATAGTCTCATAAGTCACTTGTCTCGAAGAGTAGTAAACAGTTGTTTGACTTCGAGAAGGAAGAACGGAAGGGAATCGATATTCCCGCTACCGTAGGTAGTGGGTCTTGGACCCCCGGGCCGTTCGCAGGTTTCCTGCGATAGTTTCAAGATCTACGCGATTTATTTGATACTATTTGGCGCTTCACCATATATGGTGAACGGCAAGAGCGGGACAGGGCTTTGGACCAATCAAAGGTGGGGTCCTTAAAGGACCCCGATAGTCATGCCACGTGTCATTTCTCTTCCCCTTTATAGCCAAGGTGGCGGATGATTGTCAAGGGACTCAGAGACAGAACTGACCTTGCTTGGGGCCTTTGGACCATGCGGTCTCAAGGTCAAATCAGAATACTCCAATGTCAGTTGTTTTGCATATGTAACTTGTATCTCAAA